CTCTCTCTCTCTCTCTCTCTCTCTCTCGCTCTCTCTCTCTCTACTCTCTCTTTAAACTTGACTGGATTATGTTAAGTGGTCTTCCAAAAGAATAGCATAATATACAGTAGAAGCCATTAACCAAGCCCATAACCGAAATTTACACCTCTAGTCGACATCTGACGATACAAGAGAGGAAAGATAAAGTAACCAGAAATAAAGTACACATGTAAGTTCAATCTGTGGTCCGTGTTGATATTGTCGTATTATTTACTACCATCTTTCGATAGCTCAATAAAACACTTTTACTCTGCTTTTTGCGCACGTTACCAATTATCATTATGATTTATTATACCGTAACATAGAGTTATCTCATAGTGTACATCTATGTACCGTATAGATCTGATGCATGTAGGCCTATACAATTTCTACTCTTACTACTTTTATTTATGATTATTGCTTTTGATAGTTTTGCTTCCACGATTGTTATACACATGTACTGCAAGAGGGGAGCTATTTTTGTTGGGAGAGGAGGGGGCAGGATTTTAAAATATTGTTGCTTTTGTGCTTCAACTGCCTCGATATGTTCAAACAACAACAGCAAACAAACAACAAATGTATCAGCAGGATTTTTGCGATAATAATCAGTTGTCTGTATTGTTGAAATGTTAATGCTGGTCTTGTTCTTACGGCTAATGTTTTTTGTTTTTGTTTTCTTTTTGTTTCAAGAAAGAATCTAAATTTCTAAAACCCCGAAAGGCACATCCGTACTCTTATTGATTATAATAACTAAAGAAAAGAAAATGAATGCTGAATTTCGAAAGGATATTTTAACGCACAGAAGCAGAATATAAACGATAAACATTGAACATTTCCATGATGACGTAGGTCAAACTAATTTTAGAAATGTTTATCCATCGGAAAATACCTTCACACCGGAACGGTGTGTTGAAATAGTTCAAAGATGACCTACTAATCTAAGTAGGCACCGAAAAGATTTACTGAAAAACAAACTAAAGGTCTACATCACTACTTTTATACAATTCAAGTATAATCATCACTGCGGAACTTAGTGCAATATGATAGCAAAAGAGACTGTAATTCCTCTTATATTCTTTGTTCGACGTTTCAGTGTAAGAAATGCGGAATACGCCTTTTTCCCTGCAAATTGGTCCCTTCATTTTAAAAATTGAGGAAAAAAAAGAAGAAAGAACGAGACCTAGAATCTACTACTCGAGTTTGGTCTTAGCCTCTAGTCCAGACTGCGCGTTTATCGCAACAAGGTCTACTCTTTTGTAACGGTAACAGCCACTACCACGTTTCTCTAGAAACGAACCGCTATAGATTTACAACTAGTATAAAGCGTTCCTCTTTTGTCTCTGCAGATTTCAAGAAAAGGTGCGCAAAATAGAACAGAATGTAGTTTCACCTATCTATTGACGTCACAGAACGCTGTAACGTTATCCAACTGGAGTCCCGACCAATCAGCCAATCAGGTTAGACCACATTCGGGTTCACAAGCAATGGCGTAGGGAGCATGGGTTATACCATTTTGGAAGACCAGGGTTCAGTTTTTTTAAACAGAAAAATAGCTATAATATCTATCTAGAGACGACCAAACCTCCTGTGGACTTGAAATTTGTCGTTATTGGTGTATATATACAGTTGTCTTTCATTATCATTATTATAACTTCGACCATTCCACTTGGTGTTCTGGGACGTACTATAGGGGCTGACTCCCCTCCTTCTGGTCTTTTCTACCTCACCTGTGTTAGGCGTGAGGAGCTTGTGTTCATTCCCTCTGCTGGAGGAAGGGGAATTCTAACCAAGGGGAGCGTGGATTTCTTATTTCTTCTTTTCGGATTTTAGTGTCTTCAAACCAAACTCTAAAAGGATTACCAATACGGGGATTTGGTTAATATTTTAAAGGACTACGGTGACACGAATCGCGTGTACACCACCACCATTTTCACAATGGATATCGCTTTCTCAAAATCAACGGAAGATGTGTGTAAATTCTTCGGCGTCGATGATCAAGTAGGATTATCCGACGAGCAAATTCGCAAGAACACAGAGAAATATGGACCAAACGGTGTGTATAAGTTTATTAAAGCTGGGTATATTCAGATATCTTATGAGTTTAAAGCTGAAAAGTAGAAATAAAATCGCTGTCACGCGTGACAGATGATGGCTGCCGAAAAACGATTATGAACGAGTTAAAAGTAGTCGATAAAAAGACGAAGGGATTGGCCTCGTACAACGTAGTGTCGTAGGGTAGGCCTAGCCTAGATCTAGGGCATCCAACACGAAACAAAGTGTAGAATAGCAAGGGATTTTTAGGCTAGATTTTTAGAGTAGTAAGATTTGGACCTCACGTTATGATTTCATTTTATTAGATCTAGATCTAGATCTCTAGCAATAATTGACACACTACCTTCTCATCCATCTGTATATATATAATTATATATGATATAGCCTACATAATCCGGTCGGCCTTTCCCCAGTAATGTACACAGAATTAGAATGATGATGTAGACTTTAGATCTACCGCTATCATTGTGTCGTAGTTTGTATGACGGTGGCAGGAAATTTACTCCAGGCTCGGATACAATGTCCCCCCAAAAAATCTCAAGACTTTCCCACCTCTAGATCTAGATGTCTACATTTTCTCTCTTTCTTTTCAGTCTTTGAATGGTATTAAAAAAAACAACTGCAGAATGTTCAATTATAAGATGTGGCCTCTTTGAACATCAGCCTACATCCCTACTAGATCTAGCTACATTGCCTACATCAGCACATCAGCACTAGATCTAGATTTGATCTACTCCGGTAGAAAGGCCTAGTTTGCGACTGTTTTTAGTGCCGAAAAAAGTATTCCCCACAGGTTATCCGCTAATCTTCAATTTTACCGATTTCGTATGCTGATTAAACCGTGTCCATACGCTCTGGGATCATTTTGTACCTCCGGGGTTGTATTCTTTAGATTTTGGAATGCTTTTAGATTCTAGTACAAAGAACTCTTTAAAACTTTCGGTAGGCCCTCTTTCTGAAAAAAAATAATTCGAACCTAGATTCTAGATATCTAATCACAAAACATCGATTTATTGGGTTTTACAAGGACAAGGGGGCATATAGTCTATATATATTGTGAAGAAACACCCAGATTTTAAAAGGCTTACGCTATTGACTTTGTCCTTCACTTGGTCACTACCTTGTCAGGACATCTTGTTCATGTATTGAAGTCACACTTTCTTCGTCATTTTGGTAAAATTTTGCCTTGTTGGTAAATTAATCAGAAGAGTAAAAAATGCAGGAGGAGGTGATGAACTATCCACCACAAGTGAAATATGACTAACGCTATTAGTATTAGATCTAGTGTAATGATAGTTTCTTTTGAGGTAAAATAATCATGATCTAAGAACTAATTTGTGATATCCGAATTTTTATCAAACAGGTAAAAATTAACAAGAAAAATGTGTTACAATTATAATCAACTCTTTGAACCCCATCGTCTGGCGGTAATAACCCTGTTCCCTATCGGACACTGGGAGCATCCAGTACTAGTGACAACTGTTTAGTTTTATTGCGTGCTAGTTTTTGCTTGTTTTTCGGAACCATTCCCGAACCAAGTTTTTAGTCATGGCTAAACTTATGTTTCCGCTATTTAGAAGTTGGAGGTAAGGTTTTGGGGTTATAATGCGACAGTGCACTAGGTTTAGGTGACTGTAGAAAAAACCCAGGTCTTAAAAGAGTTAATAGATATCTAATAGCTGAGCATGGGAATGAAATGGGAGTGATAGTAAAAAATAATACCATTATTCCATTTTAATGTTCCTTCAAGACTGAAGTTGCTGCTCTCTGTTTATTGATTCTTGATTGGAAGGAAGGGTCTTACATTCTGAACTTTAGGGGCCATAATTTCATTATCTTATCATCACACTTTCTCCGAGATTTGTGGTCCCATGAAATTGGTTAAATTAAAGTAATAATTCTACATTAATACTGTTGTCATTGTGGCTGACTTTTCACTCAAAATGTGATCATTTTTTTGTCATGGCCCTGTTTGGTCTCAGCCTTTTTGTTTGTTTGCTTGTTTTAGTTGTAAAGTGAAAAGAATCATTTTTCATTCTTATTTTTAATAAGAAATTTGGTGTGGTGTTATTTTGAAGGTCGGCAGCCTGTAATAATTCGATAAAGATGCTCATTCTTATTTAATTTAAATTTCAATGCTAATGTAATAAAAGGGGTTGTGAGTTCAGTGAAATTGCAGTTTTCTTTCAGTTTCAGTCCAAGGAAGTAAGCATAATAAGGGTTTCAGAAGTATATACAGAGGTTTTGAAGTCATATTTCTTCTCCAGGGTGACCACAGATTGTCTTTTTTTCATCCGTTTGTTTTTTCTTTGTGCTTGAATCTATAAAAAAAATTAGAAATGGAACAGGAGTGGCTGGATCTTGGTTTAGAATATCAGACAAGCATTAGTTAAATTCGTTGTGGAGAACCACAATTAAAAGTCGGAACTAAATGTTTTGAGTGACCTTCAAGTTTAATTATCCGGAACTTGTTTTCTCGTTTTATAAAAAGAGATAAAATAAACCCTGGTTTTGTAAGTGTTTGTCAGTTTCTAGACTTTCTGAGTACAGGATGTTGTGAGAGGTTAAATTCTTGTTTTCGGTCTTTTGAATTTTATACTGACCTGGGGGTGAAGACTTGACAATAAAAGTTTAAGTTGTTTGTTGTTAAAAAAATAAAAATAAACATATATATTATATACATATGAAGAATTGTTTTTAAGTCTTGGTAGGAGAAAAATAACTGTTCTAGTTGTCAAATTTTCATTGATTCTTTGATAACGAAATAGATGTTCAGTTATCCCATTCAAGTCAGTTTAGCGAAATTCATGTCGGTTTTTGGTTTTTTTACGCCACCATCGACAAAATTTAGATCATTTAGGAGATGGGCTTCAGCCCTGCCTATCAGGGTTAGCAAGATTATAACAACAAAGTAGTTAATATTCTCTTGAAAATGAAAAGTCGGCAAGGTTGGTAATGGAAAAATTATAGAGATCAAACAGGTAAATATTATTCAACATGCATAGCGCCAGGCTTGTTTTGGATTTGACAGGGTCTATTTTTAAAAGATAGTGTTTACTTTATACAGTGAATATCGGTTTAGTAAAGGATTTAGGAAAAAAAGTAGGCATGGCGAGACCAATCATGTTTCAGAGAATTCAATGAACCCTAGATAAGGAAAATTGGTTGTTGAGTGTGGAGAGTTCATTTTTGTTGTGTCGTGGAGTCATACACTAGTCATAAACTCTTACAAAATGTAAGTTTTTAATGTGAGTGCTGTTAACTTGGCCACTATTTTCAATGGACTGTTATTATCAATGCCCTAGTCAGTTTATCAAATTGCCCTTGGTTCACTCAGTCTGATTTTGAGAACTCAGTATTTGAGCAAATTATTACATGAGTGAAGTATCCCATATAATTTTCATTTGGAGCTTGAAAATGTTTTTTCAATATTTATAGCAACATTCTCAGCCAAACGTTCAAGAACTTTTTTTGCATTATAATAGCTGAGTATGAATAAAATGTCACTGTTTGTGCTGCTTCAGTTGAATTTTAAGGCTGTTTAGTGTAAATTTACTTTATTTGATTGCCTTTTTATGTCTTACTTAGGCTGGCATTATTATCAATAATAACAAAATTATGTTATCAACAGAATGTACTGTAAGTAAAATATGGCAGATAATTTGATATTGAAAAAGTTACTGTGCGTGTATCTGTGAATGAGACCTGATATGTTTGATTAAAGGTTTTCAGTGTCTTTCTTCATTGATGCATGATTAGATTTTTATTCTTGGACGAGTTTTTGTGACCTATATATGTAACTATTGCACTCTTTTGATTAAACATTTTCTTTCATGATGTATTCTGAATATATTATAACCTAATGTCTTGGTTTGTTTTCTGTTTTCAGAGTTGCCAGCAGAAGAAGGTAAGTGTGCAGAATAATGTGGTATTAAAGTAAAACTTCATTATAGACAGAATCAGAATGATACTATCCAGCCTGCTGTACTTAAAAAGTTTAAATAAAATTGTTCATATCAGTTCATATATATATATAAATATATGAAAGGGCAAGTAGAAATACAAATTACTGGAGCCAGTTCTAGATATTTTCTGTATTACATGCTGATTACTTCTATCACTTAGTAAAATGACTTTTACACTGTGTACAATGCTTCCGCCCCCCATCATCATCGCTTTCATTGTTTGTCTTTGAAGTGAAGTTTATGCTTTACAAAATGCACAGTGACCAGGAATGTTAGTTAATATTAGTTGAAGCAGTTTTACAACTTTTGAAAAAAATGTACTTGAATCACTTTGCTGAACACACTTCAAAGTAACCGTTTCTCTGTTTAAGAATGAATTTTTTAATTTCGTAGGAACCCGTTTGTTGAAAGGAAAAGCTATTAATTTCATTGACAAGGGCCCTTTTTTCTGTTACTACATTTTATTATTTTTATGCTAAACAATTTTTCTTTTCTCCTCAGGCAAACCTCTATGGGAACTTATATTGGAACAGTTCGATGATCTTCTAGTTAAAATTTTACTTCTTGCTGCTATTATTTCTTTTGTGAGTATTGACCTTTTTTACAACTCTGCTGCATTGTAATTAGATCCGCAAATCCATCCAAACTGTCATCCTGTACCCTTGCCTCCCTCCTGTTATTTACTACACCTTTGTCTGCTTTCCCCATTTCATGCCCCTGTAGATTTGTAGCACATTCCCGACTTACACTTGAAAGAATATATGTTTTGCTAGTGTTCTTCTAGACCAGTCTGATCCTTCCTTTGTACTTTGTTGTGCATTATATAAAGCCAAGTGCGTTAACTCTATGAGCCTTGCACTTTGTTACAAGTTACTGTTACATTGCAATGTTTCGTTCTGAGACTTTAAAAAGGATGTTTTTAAATTGTGACCATTTAAAAAATTCTTTCACTTTGGGAATAGAAAAGATTAAGTGCTAAAAATCTAATCATACTTTTTTCCCCCCTTAAGTCCACCAGTGGAATAGAATTGGCAGAGTTTTGGTTTTTTTAAATGGATAATTAAATACATTGCTTCAATTAGTTTTCTGTTAGTTGTTTTTCGAGAAATTTTATCACCTTCTGAATTGGTTTTAATTCCTAGATATATATGATTCAAGCTTTTGTAGTAATTTATGGCAAGTTTGTTTCTACTTTTATTCAGAAATAAAAAAAAAACAACAACCAAAAAGCAGCAAAGTGGGGAACCATTTCATCATACTCAGCTCAGTCTTCCACAGTCTTGCCATCCTATCTCTTGTTCTGAATACAAAAGTAATAATGCTGTTCTTTTATGTATGCCTTAAACTTCGAAGCTTACTTCCGAGTATTTTGCAAATTTGAGATGTGGCCTGCTTTTTAAAATTGAAAGTGTGATTTTAGTCTCCCCGTCCCATTGTGGTCTCTATTTCACCACCCCATGTATTTTCTTAATCAGAATATAATTGCATTGTTTATAAATAATGTAAAGGCTTTCTATGACCTTATAGATTCCACCCTCCCCTCTTGTTCCTTCAAAGGAAAGAAAAAAAAAGAAGAAAACTGCCACAATCATTTTAAAAAAATAAAAAAATTCAGTAATGGTTGACCCATGCAAAGACACTGCAGACCCTCACTCTGTAAACGCACACGTATTATTATTGCATTCTGAATGCATCTGTGTGTACTTCCCCTTTTCTCCCTCACCTTGCTTTTACCCCCCCCCCCTCCCCCTCCCCTTTCCAACGTTCCTGTTGCCATAGAAATAGCGTGTGTTTGTGATGTGATGGCGCTTCGTGTTTCCCATAAGCCGAGCGGAAACGTTCCCCCGTGTATGATTTTTGGAAAGCTCACATACATCTAGCCTAATAGCCTTGTAATGAAGCATGAGGGCCCACGCTGTTTTGACCTCCAGCCTGAGGCAGAACACGATAAATAAAGCCAAAAAAGAAAATGGCTACTTTCGCATCACATGATACATGTACAAATGTTCGTAGCTCAGTGGGATTTATTTCAACTTGGAACATGAACTGTGCTCCGCTCCCGGAACTGTTGTTTGGTGCGTTGTTGCATTTCTATTTTGTAAATGTTTTTTAAAGCTAAAAGCGGCCCCATTCCACCCCAACGCCTATAAAAAAA